GCGCGGGCCCGGAGGAAGGCAGGTGGGAACCATGCTGGCAGGGTAAGAGCAGTGGCAGCAGCAGCCATTCCTTGAGCACCTACTATGCACCAGGTGTCAGGTTCGTTTCACTCCCGCAAGCCCGGGGGAGCTGTGGTCAGCCGCCTTGCCCAGGCCGCGCAGAGCCAGGGGCAGAAACTGCCCCTGCCGGTGTCTCTGGCGAGTCCTTCACACACGCCTCTCCCGGTGCTCAGGGCCCCCCGGGGAGGCCGGCCCAGGACCGGGCTGGGCGCGGGGCTCCCAGAGCTCCTGCAGGGCCCATCCTGCTCGCCTCGGTCCCTCGGGAAAAGGGGGGCGTGCAGCTTCCTCAACACTCAGGACACCCCACAGCAGGGGTTCTCAACCTTCCTAGTGCCGTGACCCTTTAAATACAGCTCCTCATGTTGTGACCCAACCATAACATTATTTTTGTTGCTACTTCATAACTGTCATGTTGCTACTGTTACGAATCGTCATGTAAATATCTGATATGCAGGATGGTCTTAGGCGACCCCTGTGAAAGGGTTGTTTGACCCCCAAAGGGGTCGCGACCCACAGGTTGAGAACCGCTGCCCCACAGCCTCCTCCGCAGAAATCACTAACGACTCTGTTCTCACAGACAAAACTACATACAATGGCAGAAGACCTACGAATCCCTCTCGGACATGGTGGTCCCTCGGTCAACCAAGTAAGTGCGATGCCGGCTTAACCCGGGGATCCCTGGGAAGCATGTGTGGGTGCCCTGGGGCACCCAACCACCACACACTGTGCCCACCAAGAGTCCCTCAGCCTGCAGTGGCCATGCACCAGCCACGTGGCAGACTCCCTCCATCTTTTGGGACTTTGCTTCCCTGCCCCCTCCCCCAGGAAGCCCTCCCTGGCTGCCCTCCTTCGCTGCACTCCTCTCTGCCTTGTCAGCTGGGTGTGGGCTCTGAGGAACAGGAGAGGGGCCGCCAGCAGCCCATAGAACTCAGCCGGGGCCCCAGGACCCGCATGGGGGGCATCTGGCCAGCAGGACTCAATGGTGCTTAGATCACTGGCCTCAGCCACCCCTACGCCCTGGGGACAGCGGCCACAGTGGCTTTCCGTGGACGTGTGCCAGGAGGTGTGTCTAATTAGAACACTGACATTGGCCGTGAAGTGGCCCTTGTGAGATGTTCCACCAGCCAAAACGCCCCTCACCCCCCACCCTGGTTCACTGTCCCCGGAGCGTGCCAGGACCAGGGGCACCAGGCGCACCAGGCGACCGAGCCCAGGAGTGGCCTCATCTCTCAGGCAATTGATCAACGGGACCCAACCCCAGATCACGGCACAACCAGGCTCCCGTCCCTTCCTCCCCTGGGCCCGGGTTTAACGGCCTGGAGGCCCCTGAGGCTCGGTTTGGGGGGCGAGTGGACGGGCAGGAGAGGAAGGGGAGCGCCAGGACCACAGACCCAGGAGTGAGGGAGCCTAGGGAGGCCGGTGTGCAAGGCCACCAGGCGGAGGGGCCAGCAGCGTGGCTGCAGCGACCTCCTCCTGGGGGCGAGGACAGTGCGTCGGCCCGGCCCGGCCCAGCCACCCAGCGAGCGGACGCGTCTCCCCACAGGCTGATCTTTGAGGACAAGGAGGGCGGCCTCTTCACCGTGACCCTGTTTCGAAAAGTGATTGACGATTTCAAAGCCAGAGCCAAAGAGAACAAGTAACTGTCTATGATGTAACAATACAGTCTATGAAGCAACAATCCAGTCTATGAAGTAACAATCCTCTCTATGAAGTCACAATCCAGTCTATGAAATAACAATCCTCTCTATGAAGTCACCTGGTTAGGTTCACGGTCCGAGAATTTTACTATGATGAGAAAGAGATCACACGGGAACGGGAAGAGATGACCAGGTTGCTGTCGGCTAAGAAGCAACAATATGTGAGTACCGGCCACAGGCCCGGATTCTCGGGCAAGACGGGGACAGAGGGCCCTGCCAGTCCCCACCTCTCAGCCCCGCCATCCCCCTGCCCCTGGGCACCCTCCCTCCCCCCCGCCACCCCAAGGAACATGTGCTCTCCTGGGGGAGCCAGAGCGGGTCTTGGGGAGGTGACAGCGTAGGTCATTGTGGAGGTAGCGCCCGAGCTGTCAACTATGGTGCTGGGCAGCTCCAAGCGAGGTCTCCCCGAGCGCTGGCACTGCCCTCCCAGGAAGGGACCGGCTCTGTTGTCGCTGAGAAGTCGGGGTGCTGAGAGGGTGATGAGCCAGGCCCTGGGAGGGGACCCTGCCTGGGGGCCCCCCGCTCCGAGGTCGAGCAAGGCAGGCCGGGCTGAGGGCAGAGCCCGCCCCGGGGGTGAGGCCAAGGCCACCAGCTGTCCTGGGCAGTGAGTGCCAGGTGTGATGTGCCGCCTCTGTCCGCGCCTCTATTTACCCTCGCTGTGCTTTTAGCAAAGAGGGGGCGCTCACCCTGAGATTACCGACCACGGCCACTCGGAAACGTTGAGGGCAGCCGAGCTCAAGAGGGAGACCAGACTTTCGTGTTTGAATAGGGACGCTCCCTCCGCCGCTCTGTAAAATGGGCGCATTCCAGACGGGGTGCCCTCCGGCTGGGAGCGGGGCCAAGCCGTGTGGCCCGTCTGGGTGGAGCGTTTCGGGTCCCCTCCGCAGTCCTGGAGGGAGGGCTCTGGGAGCACCCACCTCAATGCCGGGAGGAAGAATGAGTCGAGTGTGCTCCCGGCCCTCTGGGAGGAAGGGCCGTGTGTAAACAGAGCGGCAAGGGCGTGCGAAGCAACAAGTGCCTCTCCTGTGGCCGAGTGTTTGCCCCGAGCCTTCCCAACGGCGGGCCGGGCACCCTGCACATCTGGCCTGACCTCTCTGGGTCAATGGCCTTTTTCCCCCAAAACTACTTTGTTATTGACTTCAGAGAGGGAGAGGAGAGAGAGAGAGAGAAGTACCAATGACGAGAATCACTGATCGGCCGCCTCCCGCACGCTCCACACTGGGGATTGAGCCGCAACCTTGGCATGTGCCCTTGACCGGGAATTGAACCCTGACCTCCTGGTTCATAAGTTGGTGCTCAATCACTGAGCGCACGGGCCGGCCTCAATGGTCTTTTCAGAGGGACTCCAGACAAGCTGCCCCTCAGGAGCGAGCACTAGCCATGGGGCCCCCGAAATGGGGTTCTCAGAGCCCCACTGGACCGGACCGGGGCCTGTGAGAGGCCATGGGGACGAGCATATAAAATGCCCCCAAGCATAAAAACGCTCACACACCATAAACACGCTTGTACACGTATGTGTATAGATGTGTACCACGAAGGGACGCACACACTGCAGATCCTCTGAGACAAGGCTGAGCTAGAGCCCTGGGCCCTGAGGACTCAGGCCCACGCACCCAGGCACCCATGCACCAAGTCACCCACGGACCCAGGCACCCAGGGACCCAGGCACCAGGCACCCAGGCACCCACGCGCCCAGGCGCCCACGCACCCAGGAGCCCATGCACCCAGGCACCAGGCACCCACACATCCAGGCACCCAGGGACCCAGGCACCAGGCACCCAGGCACCCACGCGCCCAGGCGCCCACGCACCCAGGAGCCCATGCACCCAGGCACCAGGCACCCACACATCCAGGCACCCAGGGACCCAGGCACCAGGGACCCAGGTACCAGGGACCCACACACCCACACACCCAGGCACCCAGGGACCCAGGCACCAGGCACCCAGGCACCCAGGCAAGAAAGGTGTTCAGCACCAGAGCTGAGACCCAGAAGGGTGGCGCCTGAACCTCAGCCCTGACACCTGGGAACACTCCCGAAGTCTCTTTAGTGACCGACCCAGCTCTCTGCCGTGTGTCTGCACAGGAGCTGGGTCACAGCAGCTCCCACAAGTGTCCGGGCGGCAGGTCCTGCCCAGAGGACAGGTGGTCAGGTTCCTTGGCACCCACCCGTGCGCTGGCACAGACGCCCCCGAGGACCCAGGACTGACACCCGAGCCGACACCTGCACTGGGTCTCGGGTTCCCCGCGGTGTAGACTTCTGCCCGCGCAGCCGGGAGCCCTGCCAGGGCCTCGGGGAATGGGATCGGAGGGAGACACACTAACTCGGAAACACTCAGTCCCTTCCGAGCTCTCGCTGTGCGCCAGGGAGCAGGCGACAGCGGGCCAGCCCGCCCGGCTCCTGCAGACTCTTGGCCCTGAGCCTGTTGGGAGGTGGGCATGAGCAGCATCCTGTATCTTTCTGGCTACTTGTCAGCGGAAGGGACGCTGCGTCCCGGATGTTGTCGGTTCCCTCTGAGATCACAGGGTGGGAGTCTCCCGAGCACCCACCTGTCTGAGAGAAAGATGATAAGGGGTGCCGTGCACTGACCGCATGCCAGCGCCCCGAAGGCCCAGGAGGCTGCCGTGGCTGGGCTGGGTGGCGACACCCTGACCGCGCCCAGACAGACAGCTCCGGAGCTGCCCTGCCTTGCTTACGGGGGCAGGCCCTGCCCGGGCCAGGCAGAGGGAGCCATGTGTAACCCGGCCCTCTGCCAGAGATGCGCTCTTTCCCCGGAATGGAGGCTGTCCCGGGCCGGTTGGGCAGACAGGGCCACCCCTCCACCCCTGGGCGGGCGGCATCCCTGAGCCTGCCTTCCGTCAGGCCATGAGAATGGTTTCTGTTTCTGATGTGTGTTTCCTGAAAGATTAATAAATCGTTTCTGTGCCTTTAGCAAACTTCCTGTGTTGCTCTTAAAAAGGGATCCTCCACCTTCCCGGACCACAAGGTTAAGGTAACCCCGCTAGGTAACCCCGATAGGCCCGCTGCGGGGCACAGCGACAGAGAGAGAGAGAGTGAGGGCGAGAGTGAGGTAAGCAACCCCCGGAGCCCTGGGGTTCCCCGCTCGCATGCCCTCGCCAGCGCAGGTGTCTGAGAGGCAAATCCTTGCGTTTCTGTTCTCTAAGCGGCTTTTGAGGTCTGCAAGGAGCCCAGAGCGGGGCCTTCTTCCTAATCTGCAGGCCTCTTCGGGGCGGCCCCGCCCCCCAACCATGGACGGTGCTTTGGGCCAAGCTGCCTCTGCTCTGCCTGGAGGTGACGAGCTGGTGACGGGCAGGCCCTGCTGGGGCGGCGTGGGCGGCAGCTCCGCTGCCCTGTCCTGGCTGGACCCACGCTGGCCTTTGTGGGCTCAGGGCTTTTGCTGCGAGACTTGAAGTCCCCCAGGTGACCGGCCACTCCAGCGTTAGTGACACCCTCACGCCCTGGGGCTGTGGTCAAAGCCTGATGTGGGGCCCAGCTAGAGCCTTCCAAGGTGGGCCCTTGTAGCGGAGTCTGATGGAAGCCGTGAGCTGCCTGCCGAGAGCCCTGAGGCCAGGGGCTGCCCGGCGCCCCGCTGCCCGGTCTGAGGAGGCCCCACGCATGTGCTGGTGGCTGGCCCGCTGAGCTTCCGGCCCCGGGCCCCCGGAGAGCAGGGTCCTGGGCCTCGCCGGGCCGTGTGGACCGACTCGCTGCTTCTGCTGGCCCCGGGCGCTCCTTCTCAGCTCAGGGCTTGCTCTGTCCAACCTGCCTGGAGGTGATGGGCTGGTGACGGGCAGCCCCTTCTTGGCTCGGGTCGGCGGAGGGGCGGAGAGGTCACGGCTGCCCTTCTCTGCAGGGCCCCCTGCTGCGCTGGCTCAAGGTGAACTTCAGCGAGGCCTTCATCGCCTGGGTGCACATCAAGGCGCTGAGAGTGTTCGTGGAGTCCGTGCTCAGGTAGGTCGGCGGACAGCTGTCCGGGGTGGGGTGGCCGAGCCGCAGCTCTGGGGCCATGGGGCTCCCCTCCAGCCTCCAGGCTCAGGGCCAGGACATCCGGGGTCCAGTAAACCCTCCCTCAGCCCCGAGGCCCCGGCTGCCGGCTGCTCTGCTCTGTCCCTTTCCTGCCAGCCTCAGGCAGGTGCCTCCCAGTCTCCCCGCTGGCTCCCCCCAGCCCCGCAGCATAGCCGCCAGGGCCCAGGGACCCTGCAAATACCAGCGCCTCTCACACCTGGACCTGAGAGCTCCCCTCTCAAGGCCCCAGAAAAGTAAAACTCAAACCACATATAAACCACCAGCACCAAAACTTAGGATACCTTTTTTTTTTAACAAAAGAAAAATAGGTTCACCGTGGAAATTTTGGAAACGATAGATAAGCACAAAGAATGAATAGAAATCCCCTGAAACTTGAATAGTGAGAGAAAACACTGCTAAAATGCAGTTTGTCTTTTGACCTTTTAAATGTACAGATGTGCATAATCCTATGTACTTATGAAAACGGAGTCAAACAGGAACTATTTCTTAAAGCCTGCTTTTTGGGTGCTTGACCCGTGTCGCGAACACATCCTGGAGGTGCCCCTCCAGCCCTCCCCACCTGCACTGCAGGTTGCCCCGGGTCCCCTCACACCACCCACCTGGCTGGCCAGCCCGACTCCTGCCCAAGCTGCTGCGTCTCCCGGTCCCGCCCTCCTCCCAACATAGGTTCCTGCCTGTGTGGCTCCCCTCCCTCCAGCGCTGTCACTGCCAGTGCTCAGCCCGGACTCCGCTGCCCCCTCGCCCTCACGTCCTGCCCCCACTGCCTCCACCCACCGCACCTTCCGCAGGCCTGCCCAGCCTGCCTTTGCTTTCCTTTCCGCTCGTCTCCCACCTCAGCTTGCCCGGCTCTTGCCATGGGCTCCTACCTGGTTTTGCCCCCAGTTCATCCTCCACGTGGCTGCCAGTGTGGTCTTGTCCAAACGCAGACGGAGCTGACCCTGGCTCCTCATCCTCTACCCCCATCTCAGAGGTTGGCGCCTTGGTGATGAGTCCCAGACTGGCCCCGCTGCCGCGGTGACCAGTGTCCCGAGACGGCTGTGCGACACGAGCACTGTAAAAAGTCACGCTCAGAGTCTGTGCCGTGGGAAACGTTCCTCACGGTCCCACGCCCACCCGTGCTCAGGGCGGAGAGTTTCAAGTCTCCGTGTCTCCCGACTGGGATCGTTTATACCTAAGATTCTGCAACTTGCTTTTTTCATCTGCTCTGTGTGTGTAGAGATACCAGGTCCTTTTAAAAAAAATATGTCTATTGATTTCAGAGAGGAAGGGAGAGGGAGAGACATCAGTGGTGTGAGGGAATCATCGATCAGCTGCCTCCTGCACGCCCCACACTGGGGATCGAGCCCAGAACCCGGGCCTGTGCCCTGACAGGAATCGAACCGGGACCTCCTGGCTCACAGGTCAACGCTCAACCCCTGAGCCACACCGGCCGGGCTTACTTGTTCCTCTTTAAAGGCCGTCCACTTCCCAGCCTATGGAGAGGTCGTAACTGAGAAAACAGATGAGCAGGTGCATCAGAGTGGCAGGGAGCGTCCACTGGCCCCTGCCCGTCGGTGCTGCGCTCTGCCTTCTCCAGATGCCGTTTCTCACCGTCTCCTCCTCTGGGAGCCCGGGGAGGGCTGGGGCCGAGCCCCCCTCTGCCCCTCTCACCGGGCCTCATTGCACAGAGTAGACGCTAAACGACTGTGGACAGAGTAGCATCAAAGTGAGGACGCGCCAGTTCATCTTCAGGGTCAGTGAGCCGGGGTGGTCAGCTGGATGAACGGACGGGGCCTCAGGCAGGGCTGTGTTGGGACCGCTAAGGGGGCCGGGGACTCGCGCATCGGCCTGGACCTGAGCGCGGTCTCAATAGGAACACGTTAGGGAATCCTCCGTGATGACTGACGTCTGGAGTTCACCTAGGAGGGACCGCCTCAGGGACCCTCGCCGAGAAGCCCCTGGGGAAGTGAGACGGGCGAGGGTGCTGGAGGGCCCGGGAGGGGAAGCTTCAGGTGATGTCCCTGGTGTGAGAAGCTCAAGGCAAAGGATGACTGAGTGACACAGATCATGGTGACAGGACACTGGACACTGACGTTTGGAACAGGAGTTGTAGGGAGTTGAAGTTTTTGTTTGGAACAAGGCAAGATGGCGATGTAAAGGGGAGGAGAAAGGCTGGACCCTGCAGCAGTGAGGGGGGCACTGACAATCCGTACAGGTGGCAGGGGGAGGTAGGCCTGATGCCTGGTTACACGGGACGCCATTACAGACAGCCCACTTCCCCGGCCCCGTTGACTTCCCTTTCTACAGCTCAAATACATTTCAGTATTTCGGGGTACACAGCATTAGCAGCCAGAAGTGAGGACTGGCCAAGTGTGGGAGCCAGGGGGACTTTACGGACACTGGGAAATAAAACCAAGTAGTAACAGGTTTTTGGCCACACGAGTCACTGCGCGTCGGGCAAGTCCAAGGGTGTGATCCTTTCCGGACTGGCACAGCTGGCGCGGGGACAGGAAGGCGCGTGGCGAGCAGTACGGACCCAGGTGTGCCGAGTCCATTCAAAACCTTTGTCCACAGAAACTCAGGAGAAGGAACGAACGAGCTTGATAAACCAGCTGGGTTCCAGTCAGTGCTTTGGGTCAGAACAGTCCGTCAAATTGCCTGTTTACCCCACGCACCCCCCACCTTGTGGCCACCAGGGCTGGGCCACCTCCCGGCTCCCCAGTCAACAACCACCCTGGCAGAAGCAGGCCAGCGTGTTGTAGGGTTGGTCTAGCCAGAAGGACCCGTAATCGGTTTTTCCCAACCCTGGCCACGCTGCCCGACGAGCTCTTTTCCCAAGCTGTGCTGGCGGCAGCTCTGCAGTAGAGCCGCTTAGTTCCCATCCAGCTCCCCGTCCCCACACTCGCCTCGGAGTAACCCACTCACACAGCTTCTGTCCGGGAAGGTACGGGCTCCCGGTGAATTTTCAGGCTGTGCTCCTCCAGCCTCAGAAGAAGTCGTCCATCAAGCGTTTGCGAGAGGTTCTGAACTCCGTCTTCAAACACCTGGACGAAGTGGCAGCTGCCAGCATGTTGGATGTAGGTATCTGACCGGAAACAGCCCGTCTACAGCCTGGGTCAGCCTCTCCACGTGGTGCAAACGTTCCCAAAATGGTGCTTGCCAGGCTCTTGTGAGAAGTGTGAAGGCTGCGTGTGTGTGTGTGTGTGTGTGTGTGTGGGAGCTGTGCAGGGCAGAGCATGCGGTCAGTGCCTAGAGCTTCCTCAAAAAGGTAAAGATAAAACCGGAAACTCGTTTGTGCACTTACAACATGCCGTCTTTTTTGCAGGCAGCTATGGATATCCCTGGGTTGCAACTCAATAACCAAGACTACTTTCCTTACGTCTACTTCCGCATCGACCTCAGTCTTCTCGACTAGCACGCCGCGTGGGCGCCGCTCAGCTCCTGCCGTGCGGACGACATGACGGACGCTCCTTTCCCTCCGCAAAAGTCCGTCTCCTGCAGGACTTAGATTTTCAGAGAAATGGCTCACAGAAGCTGCTCACCGCTGTATTTATTTTTTGTAAGTTACAATAAAGAAGTGCTTAGTCCTTCCAATGGGCTCTTCCCTTACATCCTAACATAATGCACACTTCTTTTTTCTGAATGTCTTACATGGATGGGGACTGCTTGGCAAGGGGCCACCTGCTGCTGTCTGTCTAAAGGGATGCTCTGTGAGGACTTAGTAGCAACACTGAAAACCATGCACTAACTGTACAACCTGCTGCAGCCCCCGCCGTTGCTGCTCGTGGCCCCACGCGCGGTGGGGCCTGAGCCGTTCTCACTGCGGGGCTGCCTGTCCTCTCTGAACTCGCTCTCCACTTCACAGGCCCGGGGGAGCCTAGCCTGCAGCCAAGGGAATGTGTGTTGTGCGGGCATCCAGATGGGGTCATCCGTCACATGTTCTTAGAAAGGAAAGACATCAGGGCCAGACCGTCATCACCAGATCAATTTACTGGCTAAGCATCAGACTCTGAATTTATGACGGGGACACTAATTTCATACATTTGTTGGCACTGTCCAAAATATTGTTTTATTCTTTCATGGAAAAGCCATTAATATTCAAATGAAAGAATCACATTAAAAAACTGACATAAGAAACAGCCTCCAAGAACACCCCAGCAGCAGTCAGAGGGAGGGAAAGTGTTTCAACAGCCCAGCAGTTTTCTTCAAAATAGTACTTGACAGAAGCCACCCCATCCACTGGCTACAATTCATAGAATTTTTCACTGTTTTCTTGAGATGCAAAAGTTCATTGTTGCAGTGTTTTCAAATGACCAATCAAGTGCTACTTCTTGGTTACAAGGCCACAGTAGATGCGCCTGATTGCAGAGAACGTTCCTCCACTGCTGGAAACATCTGCTCCCAAGAAAAGAAGGCGCAAGTTGTGCTGAGCCTCACAACTCGTCTTTCTCCAAGTCGTCCAGCTCCACGTCGCTGAGGTCAATATCGTCTTCCACAGGAAGCTGCAAAACAGGGAACCACGTCAGGCGCAGGCGGCCCTGGAGCTCGCAGTCTCCGCTCACGGAGGAGGAATGATCCCGAGGGGCTCCGGACCACAACACCAGCTCCTGCCCGACCCGGGTCTACTCTACAGCTGGGCGAGAAGCTGAGGATACAGGGAACATGGCTCTACTGGCACTCTTCAGCTTGGCCTGTCCAGGAGGGCGGGCAGAATGTGCCAGAATAAAGGCTCATTTCAAAGCTGTGACTTCCCATTTCTGTAAGGCAGGTGCATGAATTCAAGGTTCAAGTTCACTCTGGGGTGCTGTCCGGAAAGCAACCTATTATGGCCTGATCTTGAGGTCTATGTTAAGCAAACCAAATGCCATGCAGCCATATTCACAGGGTGAATGGGATGAGGCCCTGAGAGGAGGGACCTCCCTGAGGCTGTGATGTTTCTGGCGTCAGGTGAAGGCTTAGGTCCGGACACGGCCCCTTTCCCAGGGCGGGCCGAGGGCCGGCTCCCTCCCCTTCCTCCCCACCCCGAAAATTCCGGTCGACCAGCATTCCCCAAAACAGGAGGCCGCGGGAGACGGTTGCATGGTGGTTGTGGTCAACCAGATGTCCCGGCCCGGACTTGGTCTCCGGTGGGGGTCTGTGAGAGAGCGGGTTGTTCCTACGGAAAGGATTCGGTTCACAAGCAGCAAAGATGCGCAGGGACCGGGAAGGTAAAAGGAGGATGGCGTCCCCACCACGAGTCCTGCGCACACAGCCTCCCGCCCCGTCCCGGGACTCACCTCGCCATCCTTGCCGTCCCACGGCTCTCTGGTGCTGATGGTGGGGAAAGCCCCCCCTCCGACAGGTGCTGTGGATCCTCGCCCAAAAGAGAGCTCCCTTGGGGGAAACAGCCAAACAAGCGCAGGCGTTAGAGGACTGCGGTGCACGGAGAGCCAGCTGTGGAGGATGGTCTGCCACTTGCTCATGCAGACACCCCCCCAGGACATGCCTTGAACGGCACTGCCTGTTCAAGCAGGACCACCGCACACCAGGCCTGGAATCCACCGGGCTTGGCGTCAGACAGGGCGGCTCATTTAACAAACAGCACGTGTATTTTGCTAAAATACAAATTATGTAAAACTACCAAGCTGAGAGTTAAGCCCCAGAAAGGCTGTGTGAAAGACGGCAATTCCATTTTTCTCCTCGGTCCCACAACGAGCTGAGGCCCTGCCGTGAACAGGAGCCCCGATTCCACAGGCCCCGGTGACCGACCCACGGACAGTGCGAGCACTTCCCTCGCCGCTCGGCTTCAGGGAGACGCGAGCCCTGCCTCTGGCAGGCGCTGGGAGAGAACAGGCCCGGGAAGACCACAGGCTGGGAAACGGCTGCTATACAGGAGCCTCGAATGCGCTCTGGTGAAGGGCGCTGGAATGTGGGCTTGGAAAACCCCAAAGGACAGATACTATGTGTCCTGTGGGTGCTTGGCAGCCTCTATCTGCACGGGGGAGAAATCGGGGAAACTAACTGCTACTCTGCCTGTGTTACAGTAACACCATTCTGAAATAACTACACTCTAAGACCAATGCCCAGAAATGGCAGCCGGATCATCTGAGGCCAAGGGCACCAAGCACGCTCGGGTGGGAATGGGGGAGACAGGCCGCTTCCCGCCCACGAGACCTTGATGAGAATCAGGAAGAGCCCAGTATCAACTGAACAGAATGACGAGGTGACCAGAGAACAGGGAAGCATGAACACCAACCGCTACTGCAGGACATTCCCATGGAAAGGCAACTGGAAAGCTCACATGTATAAACTTCTAAGCCTCTGATGTCAAATACAAACTAATTCCACTTATTGCCTGTTCTACATCAACCCAGTTTCGAATCAAAACCCACAGCAAACACAAGCAGACAAAACAAAAACAGCTCAAAAGGGCAAGAAGGTTACCTGAGAAATTCGTTAATGCCTTGCTCACTGAAAGACCCTTTCAGAAGAGCGAACTTCATCTTGCGCGCGTTAATGGCCGCCATGGCGGGGTAGCCAAACCCCCCGATCCCCAGTGCGTTCTCCAGCTCAGACTGCGCGCCAGCTTCCGTCCACAGCCACCTAGGAAGGCAGACTCGTTTCAGGGCAAAGGCCCCTTTTGATTCAGTTAGACCCTAACTGGCAGATCTTGATTAAGAAGCAAAAGACTACACCTCAAATATTTTATGGATGAAATAAATGAGAACAAAAGGTAAGTTTTAAAAAATAATGTATTCTATATGTGCTCCTGAGTAATACAGTTCCTCCCTCAAGTTTTCTACACCCCAACTCCAGAAGTCCCCCAAATGGACTGATCTACCTATAAGACAGTTTCTCCGCCTACCCCCAACTCCAAAATATTGTCCACTAAGCCTCATGAACTCTCTGTGTTTGTTACCAATATCATTTAGGTAATGATGTATGTATCATTGGGGTAATTATAACACATGTAATAACTACTTTTTAAAAAGTTATGGATATGTCATCATTATCCCATACGGAGTGGTGCAAAAGTAGGTTTACAGCTGTTCATATGGAAAATATACAATTAGTAAATAATGCAGGAATAAACTGTTTCATGTACTCAACTCTAAACCGACTTTTGCCCCACCCTGTACAACAATGTTCAACCAACCCGGCCAGCGTGGCTCAGTGGTTGAGCGTCGAACCAATGAACCAGGAGGTCACAGTCTGATTCCTGGTCAGGGCACATGCCTGGGTTGGGGACTCAGTCTCCAGTGTGGGGCATGGAGGAGGCAGATCAATGATTCTCTCTCATCATTGTTCTTTCTATCTCTCTCCCCCCGCCCTTTCTCTTCCTCTCAGAAATCAATAAAAATATATTTAATTTTTAAAAAAATGCTCAACCAAATTTCTTAACTTCTACAAAGGTGAAAATGAAAAACTACAGCAGGGGCCTTCTGTAGGCACACAATAAATGCTTGCTGAACTAACAGGAAGCACAGAGCATAGTGACAGTGATCGCAGGGGGGCTGCAACAAAGGATGAGGATGAGAAACCAAAAGATAAAGGGAGGAGACAGGCATCCTTTGTTTTAAAAATGTGTCTAGATCTGGCGTTGCAGGGGAGGGTACAGAAGTACCTCTGTTTCCTCCTCCTTATCTAGCCTTCCAGGCCATGCGAGAATTCAACTATGTTACTAATTAAGTTTTTGCTTGCTAGCCTGGGACCCCAACCACCATTTAAACTACAATTCATATGAGAAAAAGTATGTTACAAACAACTGCCTTATAAGTAAGAAACCTGCAGTACTTCTTTTCTTCCTAAATGACACAAACATGAACCCATCCTAAGAAAACTGAGGGAGCCACACCTTTCAGGAAGCACCACCCTCTCCTGCCCACATGGGAGGGACTAAGTTCAGGAACTTACCCCCACATTTTCTTCTTGTATTTGTCTGCCAATTTCAGAAGAACTTCCAAATAAGAATTTCTGCCCGCCGCTCCTGATTTAAACAAACAGAAATTGTAAAGACAGAAATAAAGGAGCAGCATGAATTGCTTTAGAAAATGTTCAGAGCAGCGAGTTCCCGTTCGTCGTACCCGTGTCGAGAATGTGGGGCAGGACGGCCACCACGCAGAGCTGGTGCTCCTCACACGTCTTCTTGGCGACGTCCTCACTGACGATCTGGGACCCGGCAGACAGGGATGGAGACAAAGCCTTAGCACCATCACTTCCACTACAGGGCAGAGCGGGAGCCTCCACCAGCCCCGCCTCAGAGGTTCTGTGACGGGTCCTCAGCCGTATGGGGGTGCTGAGGACTCGCACCCACAGTCTGAGGTCAGAATGCCGGGCGCTGCCTGGCTCTGACATTTATGCACATCATATATTTTTATGAATTTGCAGCTCCCCATGCCTCAGTTTCCTCATATGTTAAATGGAGATTAAATATAGTATTTACTGCTACGTGTTCAGGTGAGAATTAAATGAGGGAAATCTGCATGAAAGCAGAACAGTGCCTAGTACATAGTTCAGTGCTCCATAATGCTGGCTATTACTCTCGAATGAGAAAGGAAAGACCCATTCTATTGCTGAGAAGCTCAGGTGTACTTTTTCAGTGCAGTGATCTCAGTGCTAACGTTAGGAAAAGCAGCGATTTAT